GGTAAGGTAAGGTAAGGTAAGGTGTGGTAATGCAAGGTAATGTAAGGTATTAATGTAAGGTAATGTAATGTAACGTAACATGATGTAATGCAATACCGTCTAATAGCAAAGAACATGAACACCACGCTACGAGATATTGAAATTTTACATGATTTATAAAGAGCCAATTCCAGGTACAGCGCTCGAGCTTGCAGAGGACTGCTTTACACCACCGCAGAATGCAACTGAAATCCTTGGCCATACGTCTTTCCTGTTGCAGCAAAATTTCTGGCTCAGGGTTTAGGTTGTGAGTGCCCCACGCTCCTTATTCAAGCCGGATAAACCCTAAACCCGAAGCCCTAAAAGCACCAAGAGATGGCAACCAAGGAACAAGTCCTTTGCACTGGCATACAAAGGCACCGTGTCGGCACGTACCCGTAATCTATGGGGCGGAATAATTCGTGGTAATGTTCGCTTATAGTCCCCAATAGACTTCTAGAGTAACATATCCCCCAAACCCTGTTCCGACCATTTAGGACCCTGTATTCGTGTTCCGGCAGGCCCAACCTTCAGTGCCACCCAAGCCATTGCCATAGCCCATAGCCGTTTCTTGAAATTTGGCATATATCGGGATATAGATCGTTCGGCAGATCCCGAAACCTACGCCCCAAGCTCTATCCCTAAGACTCACCTAGAAGCCTTAAAAACCCAAGGTTCTCGGTGTCTTAAAAGCTAAACCCTAAACCCTAAACCGGAGTTGAGGTTTGAGCATTTAGTGCTACAGCCAAGACAAACATCCTACGTGGTCCTACATCCCCGACCCCTATGCACTTTCGGGAAGCCGAAAGACCCAAGCAAAGCGTTCCATAAAGGTTACTCTTAAGGTTCCATGATTTCAGGGCCCTAATGATTAGAACAGGGCTTTGGGGAAAAGTATACTACGATTAAGACGTCGGTGTAGGGGTAATGCGCTATGGGTTCCGCGCTCAGGTCAGAGAACGGCGAAGGGGAAATCAGGGTGTCACTAAACCCTAAGCCCTAAGCCCTAAACCTAAACCCTAAGCCGTAAAACCCTAAACCATGAATCCTGAACCCTGAACTCCAAACCCTGAACCCTGAACCCTAAACCCTAATGCTGTCGGGTTTAGGACCTTGGGTGTCGGGCTGAAGGCCAGAACACTGAGCCCCCGGAACCCTTGAACGCGGAGTCCCATCTGAGCGTCGGGTTTACCGTGAGGTTGCGGTTCGGGGCATGTGAGGCTTCAGGGGATTGCCTCCTGGGGTGTTTAAGGGCCTCCAGTTGGCGGTGCAGGGTCCTGCAGTGCTAGAAGCAACCCTCAACCCTAAACAGAAAAAGCCTTTGAAGCCCTCAGTCCTAAACTCTCCGCTCTAGACCCTGTCAGTCTTTGTCAACCCCAAATCCTTAACGCCCTGAAGCTTCAAACCCTCAAAGCCCACAGCCCTTAACCCCTCACCCGGTAACCCTGGCTGGGAGGTATGCACCATTTCAAGCCTATGGAAGTGTTCCAAGGCTGCTTCGGGGCATCCCGAGCAGGGGGTCTCATAGGGTTCAGGGTTTTCGGCTTGCTTATCATGGTTTCCATTCAGGTTTACCTCAAGTTTTCTCAATGCGGTTCAACTTGGATAGTATCATTTCCAACTTTATCGGCGGATCAACAACTGAAGTTGTCATCAGGTCATAGTGAGATCCGGAGATGGCTTTAAAGCTGGTCATGCATGTTATTTGCAACCTCGGAGACCTCTCAACTAGTCCCCGTCTATTCCCTTCCTCAGCCGCAGGATAAACGAAAAGTCGAACCCCTCTGAACCCTAAACCCTACATCCTATCCCTAAACCCTAAACCCTAAACTCCTAAACCCTAAACCCTACACCCTGGCCTTAGTGTCAAGAAGAGCGCTAGGCCTTTGAGGCGCTTTCTAGGCTGGAGTTTAGAGGTCATGGGCTTTGGGGTTCTTTGTGTGTTTGAGGGTTTAGGGTTTAGGGCTTAGGGCTTTTAGGGTTTAGGGTTTAGGGGTTTAGGGTTTAGGCCTTTTAGAGTTTAGGGTTTTAGGGTTTTCGGGTTTAGGGCTACTGTGCGGTTAGAGGGCTCGGTGTTAGAGTATAGGGTTGAGAGTCTAGGGTTCATTGGGACTTTGGGGTTAAGGATTTAAGGTGTGGGATTTTGGAATTCAGGGTTTGGGTAATGGGAGGAACTCGAGGGTCCAAAAAAGTTGATGCGGCAATCAACGTCGAGAACGTCGAAGTCGTCCTGAACCAGAATTGAATAACCCTAAACCCCTAAACCATCCTCAACCTCTAAACGCTAAACCCCAAAGCCCAAACCCCTAAACCCCAAAGCCCTCACCCCTAAACTCTACCCCCCAAACCCCTAAACCCTGAACCTTAGTCGTCTTAACTTAATGCCAGTTTGGGAACCGAAGCCCCACACCCTACACCCAGTCACCTCAAACGTAAGTGTTCTTATGAATTCTTGTTGTGCTTTATATATATATATATGTATATATGAAACCCCAGGGATCATTCAACATGTGTTTGATTGTGGCTCTAAGGGCGCTTATAATCCTTAAAGGGCTCCTTGCGATCTGTTTTGGTAAACCAGATCCAAAAGCCCTATTCACTGCCTTCAGGCCTGATGTGCTACAAAGCCCGAATCCAAAAGCCCTGCAGCCCCAAACTCTCAGGCTTAGTTGCGGGGCCTAAATAATTACCGATACTATTTTTGGGGGGTTTCTTACTATAACTATAGTATAATGGGCCCCAAAACCCTATTCTAATTATTCAGGCCCCTCCCTACGTGCCAGCCCTCAGGTTTCCCCAAACTCGAAAGCTTCATGGAGACCCCAGGCCCATATCGAAAGCCTGCCTCGTTGCCGTAAGAACCCTAGTACTCTAAAGTTTAGGGTTTAGGGTTTAGGGTTTAGGGTTTAGGAAACCCTCAACCGTAAGAACCCCAAAAAATGTACCCCGAAGCCCGAAGGGTTCGAATAATTCCTTCTCACCCCAGTATTCGCCGGTAGTCCCTGCACACTTATAAGGGTTCAGGGTCTGAGGTTCAGGGTTTAGGGTTAAATTTAGGCTCGAACATGTAGCGTTTAGGTTTTGCTGCAAAGCCCCCTTCCAGTCCTTAGGGTAAGCTGTCTCCAATACCCTCTGGAACCCTTGCACGACATGCCAAAACCGCATACTGTTCTATACGAAACCCTAGCTTCACCAGAAACCCAGGAAAACTCGGTAACACCGTAGCTAAACCCTAAACCCTCAACCCTAACGACTCCACCAAGTCCTAGTCCATCGCAGGTGAGACTTCAAACGCTGTGATGCTGGCACTTTTGATCAACGATCTCCGGAATCCGCTCAGCGCAGGCTTCGATAGTATACGGACCTAAGAAATTACCAATTCGATTTCGGTGGTTCCTTAGGTTTATATACAGTAGATATTGTTCTAATCAAATTATTCAGGTACCGAGAGCCGGGTTTCATTGGGGGTTTGTGGGTTTAGGGGTTGGGCTGGGGGTTTAGGCTACAGGGTTTAGGGTTTAGCATGCGGCGTTTCACAGCGATTTCGCAAGGTGTTGTGAACAGTTTTCTTAGGGTTGCTAAACGGTTCTGCAAGGGTTCTTAGGGTTTTGAGGGTTAAGGGTTTTAGGGTCTAGAGGTTTATGGCTTTGGGGTGTAGGGTTTTCGGGTTTAGGGTTCTGGGCTTGGGGCGTATAGTTTCCAAGCATTCTAGCACAGCCTTGAACCTGCTCAAACCTCAAAGCCTCAGCTGCAACATTCCAAAACTGACAAAATCGGAATCCCTGCTGCAAACTTAAACCCTAAGCCGTAAACCCGAAACCCTAAACCCTAAACTGTTGAACCCTAAACCCTGAACTCCTAAACCCTAAAGCCCACAAAGAGATGGAGGAAAAGAGGTGATTAAAAAAAGAGATGGAGCCTCGAATTGGGCTCGTGCATGCTAGCTTCGGGATTTGTTTGCATTCCCCATATGGGTCCTAGGTACTGTTGGGAGTACTTTCCCAAATCATAATACGTAGGGGTTCCTGGTATTGAAACCCTAAACCCTAAACCTTGAAACCCTACATTCTACTACATGAGTGCTTTGGAGACCCTTTAGGATTCAGAGTTCGAAACGCAGGCCAGCCAGCCACGGCTCTGCAGAATCCCATGCAGCTTTTCGCTGCGCATCGGCTGATATGTCTTTCAGTGGTTTTGTGTTTAGGGAAGACTACTGACGCCCTTTTTACAGTTTTTACAGTGTTAGGTTCCTTATGAAATTGCTCTATACCAAAAGAAGGGAGCTGTTCTATTCCGAGGTTACTCTGGATCCTAGGTTTGAGGTTTTAACCCAATGTTGGGGACAAGTGAATCTTCAAACCCTAAACCCTAAACCCTAAACCCTAAACCCTAAACCCTAATGCAAACGAGCACCAATGCTAGCGGAAAGCCGCGAGAGCTTGCCGGTCTTTGGGGAACCAGGGAGCAGATACAGGTCACCTAGTCTTCAGGGTTTTGGGTTTGAGGCCTACGGGACATCTCCATAGCTTCATCCTTACTTAAAATAGATCTCAACCCGGCTCAAACCTAAGCCTACTGAATCGTGCGAGGTGCGAAGCCTGCAGATCTGCCATGCTATTATAAGGCCCAAGCCCTAACCCTCTACCCTTCGAGCGCCGCCAGCACATGCAAGCGACTCGCAGAACTCATGCGCCATCCGCTGGGCCATGATTGGTTCTTGAAGCTGCATGTCAGGACTACCCCTACATACAATTAACCTGAAGCATCCTCCTCCGTGGTTTGGCTGGCTTTTGCCTGGCGGCTGCTCCACCATGTCGGACAGATTTTTATAAGTGTTTAGAAGTGGATTGCACCAGGGCTTGAATCTTTCAATGCCTATGCACTTTGCTGGCTGATGTCCAGCTGGGGGCATCGCCGGGCGACAGCTTTTGTCTTGAAAGCCGATGCAGGGCCTGCGCCACGAACTTGCGATCTGTGCCGAATCCCGGGGTTTAGGGATGTTTAGGTTTAGGGCTTCCGTGTCACTTCATCTTACACCGGATCCGTCTTGCATTACTGCGCCTAAGTTTCCGCTATTATAGGCATCGGGATTGCTTCACTAGAGTGGACTTGGGTGGTCCTGGCACATCTCCCACTCGCAGGCCACGGCATTCCTAAAGCCTTGTCCTACGAGCCCTGCCCCAGACCTCAATCATCATCCTTATCCTCAACCCTCAACCGGCAACCCAAGTGCTAAACCCTAAACCGCCCACACCTTGAACCTAAACCTTAAGCCCTCGCACATAATCCTAAGCCCTAAGCCCCCAACACTGATCCTAAACCTTACGCCTCCCCATCTCAAGCCACCGCAAAGCAACGCTTTTTGTAAGCCAACAAAAAAATAAGCCATACACTAACTTTTATAAATTTCCACATCCCACGCCACACCACGCCTAAATCCTTATCCCTCACACACTCAACCCCAACCCTTAATAAACTCTAAACCCCCAACGCTGATCCTCAAACGACCTCCGGATTTAGGGCCTGGCGCCTAGTTTTGGAGGTTTCGGCTTATAGGGTATAGGGTTGACAACCCTACCTTGAAACCCTAAACCCTAAGCCAACCTAATTAAACGCAAAACCTACAACCCTACCTTGAAACCCTAAACCCTAAGCCAACCTAAACGCAAAGCCTCCCCATCTCAGGCCACTGCATTCCACGGCGGCGCCTGGAGGACTGGCTGGAAGTTTGGCACCATCGGCCCGTCCTGTCCTCGGCGGATAAATGTAGGGGCCTACATAATTTAATTACCTATACCATTTTTGCGGGTTCCTTACTATAATTGTTCGATAATTATTAGCCCCTATATTAGGGTTTTATGGTGAACTTGTATTGTATGGTTTTTACGAGAGGTTTTGTGGTTAGGGTTATATGAAGGATCTACAGAGGCTTATAGGGGCCAGCTAGACTAGGGTTTGTTCTTCCGGATTGTTGGGATTCAATTTCAAATTTCGGTTGAGCCTAGAGTTCTAGGCTGTATGTGGTTTAGGGTTTTGGGTTTAGGCTTACAGGTTCTGGCGAGGTGTTTCGGGTGTTTTTGCTCCCATGAGGATTCTGGGGCCCATGTGCAGTGCAGGCGTTCGCCGCCATTTCTTCTGGTATCGGTTTCCGGGAAGCGGTTCCAGGCGCTAGAGCATGTCTTACCCTAAACCCTAAACCCTAAACCCTAAACCCTAAGCCAGTTGATTCTTGGCTGGTATTGGGGGTCGCGTTGGGTTTCCAGAGCTTCGCGGTGTGCCGACTCGGACCTGGAGGGTCATACCATACCCTTTGTTTGGAGTACTTAGGTTTGTGGCGGCTAGGGTCTGTTATATAGAAAAGTAAAGTAGGTACCTTAATGCAAGGGGTAGGGTTTATGACCCAATCTTTCTTAGCCTCTGAGGTGCTCGGCCATCGCGTACATCACCACAGGCATGTTGGTGAAATTGTGGTAGCTCGGCTGGCACATGTTTTTTCTTGAGGGCTCGAGAAAAAAGCTATGGTTTCCTGAGTGATGCAGATCGTAGTATTTTGTAGAGTCGCCTGTTTTCCTACACTTCCCATGTGCGGTTTTGAACGTTGCGAGGCCCTGAGGTGTATAATTGGACATGCAGGTGTAGGGTTGCAAGTCGCAAGGGTTTCGGGTTCTTCGAGTTGTAGCTTGGTCTGTGAAGTTGGTAAGCCTACCACAAGTTGAAACATGTTATCCATGAATCGGTGTCCTCGAAACCCTCCCTTTCATTTGCATGTTCATTGGAACTTATGCTTTTCAGCGTTTCTTCTTGCCTGGATCCAATATTGACATGACAGAGAAATCCCAACCCGAGCTCTTGGCGTGTACAGCTTCCACCGTCCGGAGTGTAAGGTGTAGCTGTCATTGTCAAGTGGGTCAAAGAGTTAATTCCTGATTTGGGTTTTAGGTGCCTCTGATGACCGTGACCATTTGGAGCTCTTCACCAATCCCATATAGCCTGCTCCAGGATGTGTAAACGGCGACAAAACCTGTACGATCGGGTCCCAATTTTTTTCACTCCAGAACATGGAGAATGGGAAGCAGCACCACTGCACAGTTCAACCGAAGCAGTTCAGGAGCCCTGTGCCCTAAACCTCGACCTCACCTCCACCCTAAACCCCTAAACCCATGCCCAAACCCCCTAAACCCTAAAACCCTAAACCCTCAAACCCTAAACCCTAAAACCCTAGACCCTAAACCCCATACTGAACCCTATGCTAAACCCTAAACCCTAATCAAACGAAACCCGCAGCCCCACATCCGTAGACAGTAGCATAGCCATGTAAAATCCCACAGAATCTTCGCACTCCGAAGCTTCAATTCCCATATGGGTAGTTCTCGAAGTTATAGTCCCTCCTTAGGTCCCACATATAGTACGGCACACTTATAAACAAGGATTCTAATTCAGAGAACCACCCATATGAAGCGCCACGGAATCCTCGGAGATACCCGACCACCCCCCCCAGCCTTAACCCTGAACTGTACCTTAAAAGCAGCATTAACATCCCGAAACCCTAAATCCCAATCCCTGGATCAATGTGCAGCCTAACACCCCACCCCCCAGCCCCCCCCCC